CTGCCCCCCCCCCCCCACACACACACACACCGACAAAACACCGATATGGGGCAAGGCAAAACTGGAGGAAAAGTTATCAACTCGGCAAAAGTCGGTCAGCCAGCCAGCCACTCGAGTCACATCGCCCGTACGTACCGCACACACACGTGCGTACCTTAATTCCCCCGTTCGTCCCTCTCTCTGCGTAGCGTGCCTTCGCCCATCCATCCATTCGATCCAGCACACGTCCATTGCATGCACCATTTATGCATCCATCCCGTCAGTCAGTCATTCATTCAGGTCGACATCGCATGGACAGACATCGCATGGACAGACAGACAACCAGCACACAATTAAGCCGCACTGCACTCACCCCACCACAACAAAGGAAGGCGTGGGGCGGGGTGGGCAGGTAGGCAGTCCGCATGACCCAGTCAGTCACCGTCACCATATGTACACATCTTATGATCACATCTACACGCACCGCACCGCACCGCACCGCTTTGGCATGGCATGCACCCAAGTCCCAACTGTCCACCCATTCATCCATCCATTCATCCACCTCCCTCACTGCAAGGCCGCGGCCGCAGAAAATGGCAGCAAGCCCACCAGCTCCTCCAGCACGCTCCACGCTGTGCGGTAGGACGCCCCAGAACGACCGCCAGCAGACAAAGAGGCCTTCTCCCACAGGTCCGGCCCCTCTTGCTGGCCGACGCGTGTGAGTATGCTGTGGTCCAGCAGCAGAGAGCAGGTCCACCCGCCCACCACAAAGCAATGGAAAATCTCGTGGTAGCCGAAGACGGACGCTGTTGACAGACACAGACACAGAGAGAGAGGTCAATCAATACCCACGCCTACTGATTTCTGTGGATGCACATCCCTTTCTCCCTCCCGCACTCACGGTAGGGGTTCGGCCGCCTCCTGCTGTAGACCACGGCGCCCAGCAAATGAAAGGCGGCGATGCCCAGGACGCACCCAAGCTCATAGACAGTCGTCACGCGCGCAATCTCGGGCAGGAAGAGACCCCAGGTGGCGCCCATGAGCACAAACACGCGCGACCGCCACCGCCTGAAGCTCTCGTACGTGGCCATGCAGACGGTCTCCGGGAAGAGGATGCCGCTGAAGATGGCCACGCCGCCGAGCGTTACGAACGACGTGTGGACGACCATCGATGCGACCCGGTTGAATGGCGAGAACAGGAGAAAGTTGAGAGGAAAAGCCGAGCCGGCAATGGCGATGAAGATGCCCAGGTAGTCGAGCTTGTTGACGGTGCGATTGGCCCGGGGGCTCCACCTGAAGGCTACGTTGTGGAAGAGCGCCGACACGGACGCGTTGTAGAGAATCGAGAGGCACGCCACCGAGGCCGCGAAATAGGCCTCCGTGTGCACCGTGGCCGCCGGCGTCGTCAATAAACTCCCCGACCAGAGCGGCGTCAGAATCACCATCAGCAGGTGCAGCTTGCCCCTCAGCAGCGGCCGCACGCCGCCCCAGGGGTCCTTGCTGTGTGCAGCGAGGAACCTGAAGACCGACCGGCCGTACGAGCGCAACATCTCGATGGGGTTGCAGGGGCCAGGCGGCGCAGACGATGCCGTATCAGACTTGTTGGCGCTGTCTGCACACTGCGACCGCCGCTGAGAAGCCATGGGTATAGGTATAGGTATCTTCTTCTTTCGCCTGGGCGGTTCTGACTCCTGAGCTCGCAAATGTTCTGCAGGCTCGCGCCGAAAGGAGGCAGAAGAAGCCGCCAGATAGTACAGCACGTACAGCTACCCCCTGCAGGAACTTCGCTTGCCTCGTTCAGCAGCTAATTAACTGTGACAGCTGGGCAAGGCAGGATGAAGATGCGGATCAACACGTTCAGGTTTGCGGGGGACATGCTGCACCTGTTCAGCATCGTACTCTTGATATGGAAACTCATGAAGTCCAAAAACTGCGTCGGTGAGTGCCGCAAGGGCAGATGAGGGATGTTGGCTGAGCAAGGGAGGGAGGGCAGCAGGGGGCAGACAGACAGACGTCGCTTGCACAAGGAAAACGCGGCCGTCTCAGAGTTTGTCTAACTGTGTGTGTTTGGTTGGGCTGTGTGTGTGTGTATGTGTCGCGGTGTTGGTCTTCGATCAGGCGTGTCGTGCCGGATGCAGGAGGTGTACGCAATACTCTTCTGCTTCCGGTACCTGGACATCTTCTGGAACTTCGTCTCGCTCTACAACTCGGGTACACGCAAACGATGAGAGAGAATAGCTGTGGGGGCAATGGACAGCTGACGCCGCACACTCATCTCATCTGATTGGCGTCTGTGTGTGCAGTGCTGAAGGTGGTGTTCCTGACTGGCACTTTCTATCTCATCTACCTCATGAGATTCAAACCGCCAAGTGAGAGAACGAACGACGAGCCAACCACACTGAATGGCAGTTAGTTCATCGGCTGTGTGTGATTGCAATGCATCCATTCACCCTATCCGCCTATCCGCCCATCGATTCATCCATCAGTTAAGGAGACGTACGACAGGAAGGCCGACAGCTTCTCGTACGAGAAATACCTGCTCATCCCTGCCTGTGTGCTGGGCTTCATTACCGCCGAGGAATGGACCATACCTGAGGTGCGGCGAGCAACAAGTCAGTCGCAGAGGGAATTATGTGTGGGTGTGTGTATGGGTGCGCAGATCCTATGGACGTCATCGATATGGCTGGAGGCGGGGGCCATCATGCCACAACTCATGCTGCTGCAACAGCTGGGAGAGGTCAGTCCGCCAGGCAGCAACACCGTCACCATCACCGCAACACATGTCCATCTGGTGCATCTCTGTCTCTGTGTGTGGTGACCGCGCCGTGCAGGTAGAGAACCTCACAGCTGAGTTTGTGGTGACGATGGGTCTGTATCGTGCCTTCTATATCCTCAACTGGGTCTATCGATTCTACTTTGAAAGCTACGTCAACGTCGTCGGATGGGTACGTACACATGGCAGAACGAACACCTACCTCACCACACGCAGACAGACAGATTGCATTGCATCTCTCGTGGTGTGTGTGTGTGTGCGTGTGCAGATAGCGGGTGTGATCCAGACGGCGTTGTACCTGGATTTCTTCTATTACTACGCCATGAGGTGAGTGAGGTGACGGGCACACGTCAGTCAACGCGACGATCCTCACTGGCCTTTGGTTCGTATGTGTGTATTTGTGTGTGCAGCAAGTGGTACGGGCAGAAGCTCGTGTTGCCCTTCGCAGAGGTGTGAGCATCTGCCGACCGACCTCCCTCTCTCCCTCTCTCCATCTATTCACCTTTCTACCTCTCTCTCTCCCCTGCGCTGCCGGCCCTTCCTTGAGGGCTCATGTAAACATGTGTGCATCCCCCTCCCTCTTTTCCCCTCCCCCCTGCGTGCGTGTTGTTTTGGCCCTTTTGACAGCGACCCTCGTGATGACGGACACGACAGACACCGCCCTCTCAACTGCAGATGAGCCAGGTGGCCAGCCGGTGAACACCAACGCAACGATCCGGATGGCTAGCCGGCTGCCGGCCCTCTGCAGCTCTGAGAAGAGGATGTGTGTATGGGTACTTTATGGGGCGGGGTGTGGGTGAGACTGGCTAACTCATGGGCGGGTGGTGGGGTGGATGGAGGGATGGGCGGGTGGGTGGGGGGAAGTGTGTGATGCGTCACGCTCGTCACGGACATCACTCTGCATGCATGTTGGCGTGTGTGTATGTATGTGTGGATTTGCGCACAGACATCCATTCAACCGTTCATTCCTGGTGAAGGCGTTTGTGAATGGACTGTGTATATCTGTCTACCAGCTCCCAACCACCATACACACAAAATTTTTCCTATGCACACAGGCCGGGGGGCCTGATGGATTTGCAGTGTGTGTGACGTGACCTGTGTTGCCTGTGCGTTTATGCAATTGTGTATACATGTGTGTGTGTCTAGGGGGGGGGGGGGGGGGGGGGGGG